AAGTGCTTTTTCGTAAAATTCAAGTGCTTTCGAGTAGTCACCCATGTGGTAATACACCATACCGATGTTGTTGTAGGAAGCAGCCAGTGAAGGATGATCTGCTGGAAGAGTTTTTCGCGTGATCTCGAGGGATTTTTCGTGAAATGATGCTGCTTCTTTGTATAGTCCTTGATGGTCTTTCAGCACTCCAAGATTGTTGTAAAATGTAGCTCTAGTATCGTCGTCGGAGGTTTGTTCGAGTAGTGCGATATACAATTTCTCGGCCTTGCTATATTGTCCTATTTTTAGTAGCAATGTACCCAATCGTCCCCAACATGTCCCTTGTGAAGCTTCTTTTAGTATACTTTCTGTGAGTTGACGTAGTTGTTGGTCTTCATCAGATGTCAGTTTAAGTTCTACTTGAAAGAGTGAACTTTCATTTTCAATTTTTCGAATTTCACCAATTCGAAAAACGGTGTGCATAGAGAAGAGGATTTCACTTTCTTCCGCGAAATTACTCACTTCCCGGATAGAGGCAAATGGACTTGATAAGATGGTGGGATCTATCGACATTTGATATAGGATACCAACCATACCGGATTTTTCTATGGCACTTTCAGCAAAAGCAAGAGAAGCAGCTTCATCTGTACTGGTGGATAAAAAATTATTGAAGGAAATAAGTCCACCTTTGTTCTTCTTGAGTTTGTCGAAGTCGACTGTGGATAATCCTTGTCCACGAAAAACTTCAAAGATCTTTCCATGATAAAGACTGACCTGTTGTTTGTGTAAACTATCAATTTGTCGATGCAAATCAGCAAGAAAAAAACCCATTTTTATAATTGTCTCGCCATCGAGCGTTCGAAGAGACCAGTTGAGCATCTCGTAAAGAAAACACTCACGACTGTACCACCAAATTGATGATTCTGGACTATATTGAAGTTCGAACTCAGCGATATATTTTGCTTTAGCTTTGTTATTCTTGTATTCGTTTCGCCAAAATTGAATAAAATCCTTCTTAGCTTGTTCACCATGTTTCATATCAAGAAGAATTTCCTTGAATATTTGGGAGTACATGAATGAGGCTTCAAGCTGATTGAGATCTTTGCTGGAATCTTCTTCGTTTACACTGATAATGCTTATGGATATGTCATCTTTATTGCATTGCTTGACAGCTATTTGCAATGCATCGCAGATAAGCGGAATTTCTGAGTATGGACCCTTAACTTTGTTCCAATGACTATTCCAATCTTCTTGTGAGGGTTTGCTACTGCAATCGATGTAGATGCTATGAAGTTGAGGAATATCATGGATGAGGGGTATCATTTGTTGGCCGATAGTATCCGATACAATGAGAAATGCTTTTCGATCATCAACTTCAGTGAGGAAGTCAACACATTCATCACATTGTGTAAAGATGTAGACTTCATTGGCTATTCTTCGCAGTTGTTCGGGTGTATTCTGGTAGTCTTTATTTGCTGGATCAATGTTTTCAACGACCCAAAGGATCAAATAATTTTGACTGATGTACCGTCTTGATTGCATGGTAGTCGATGGGACTGTTGTATTTGGATTGGTATCCATTGTTAGTTTGGAAATATTTCGTTTTGATTCTTGTTTACTTATATTCACTGTGAACTGTCGTTTATAAGTCAATCGAGTATAGTAGATAATTGCTTGTCGTTTAAAGACAGATCACCTTTTCTCTTTATATACTAGCTGTTTTCTGATTTTTTCTACGACATAAAATGTGGGTATTTGTTTGTCGTTAACACTCAACAACAAACTTCATTGTGTTTTAAGAGATGATATGATTGCCGGCAAAAAGAACGAAAGGAAAAAATCGAACAACGTTATTGCGTGCATCATTATTCTTTCCAACTTTCGTTTGACTTTCATCTATACCATGTCTCAAGCGGCGCGACGTTGGATATCTTGTTTCATACATCGTTTTTTATCAGAGTAAATTTTTTCTATTTTTCTGATAAGAACGAAAAAAAGAAATACAGCCATCATGAGTTCGGTTGCTTTCATTCTGCTCTTGATGGATATCCTGATCATGTGAATGAAGAAACGAGAAAAATAAGTTGAACTTTGAGTGAAATAACAATCAAAAGACATTTCTGCTTAACAGATTTATTGCTGTTAGTTAATGAGGGGTTCAAGTAAAGAATGCTGCACATTCAGGGTGGGCCAAAAGTTACTTCATCAAGAAGAAAAGCATGAATATTTCTGTCATACTTTGACCAAATGGACTGATTTTTACACTACTAATAAGGGAGTACTCATAATTGACATTCCTACGAAAAATGCTAGAAAACACTGCTTTAAAATATTACTATTAATATGAATATAAATCTGAAGTCTTTGAAGAGTTATGAGAAAATAGTCTGATCCATATGATCAAAAATAGTGAACAAGAGATATTTCCAATCAACGCTTCAATCAATTCTTACTTAGTGTTTCCTGAAACTTCTAATTATTAATAACTAGATATATTCAGTGAATAATTTACAAAAAGTTATTTATTTTTTCATATTCATCAAAGTATCGTGCAGATACTCAAGCGTTTCTTCTAGATAAAATGACTTTTGACCCACTCTCTATTGTGCTTGATCATGAGAGATATGCATCACACTTGATTGTAGATGTCAGTGAAGTTCTCACTGTAAATACATCTTCAGTTTTGTCATAGTTAGAATAGTGCATTGTTGAGTTATACGTTGTGAACTGAACGTTTTGAAACAAAGTCTTCCTTTCTGTTTTTTGGACCGATGAAAAGGATCAGTCGGAATTTTATAGAGTTGACTGAGAATCAGAATTTTGTAAGTGAATCTGCGAAAAGATTAATAATAAATGTTCGACGATTTTCAATGCATTAAAATATTTTCAGGATAGAAGAGAAAAGTTAGTCTAGATTTTCTGAAGAAAAAAAGATTATGAAGATTTCTGAACAAAATAATACCTTGATGGAAAGTTTTCTGGAAGGTAACTATTAAAAATGACAGTTTTGGTAGGAGCGATCATGACATATTCATAAGTCCTTGATTTAAAGACGTACAAAATGAGTTTAGGCATGTATGAAAGACTGCTATGAGCTTTTCAATTGTTAAATCAATTTGAAGAGAACTCTCTCGTTCTTTATTTTATTCAAAATTTTGAATTAACAAAACCGATATAGTTTGTTAGAATCATGCATAGAAACACACCATATTTAGAATGACAAATATCAATGAATTATAACTTTTTGATCTAATTAGTGCGAAAAATGATAGTAGGATAAAATAATTTCTGAGTAGTGTGTTTCATGATATTCTATGTTTGTAGTAAACAATAAAAGTTTCCCGACATATAGAAAAGACTCGAGCCATTTTACCAATATGACAAGGATAATAAGTGGTCAATAAAATCATATGACCTACAGATTAGCGCGTCTTATGTTGAAGAACTTAATTTTATTTGAAGAAAATTCTTTTGAGTTGATTCAAGTCGAATTATCTATGAAAATAGCCTCGCTCAACATTTTACATTATAGCGTAAATCTCTCCTGAAGTAGCTAAAATTTTTACCAGTCAAAAAAAGTTTATTATGTTATATTTGCTAGAGAAATATTGAGCTAAATCAAGAAAACCTCACTGAAGAGTTATAGAACAGGCAATGTTCAAAACATCACACTAAAAAGAGAACAGAATCGTCTTTTTTGCAGAGAGTCCTGTTGTTTTTCTCTGAAATGAAACTGATAAGAGAAAATATTTTCTCATTAATATGTTACTAGAAGAACCTTCCTGCTTTTCATTTAGTCAGCATACCACCAGCTCTATCGTTGAGAGATCTAAACTCACTTTTGGATCACTCTACACAAAAACATACACGTATCTGTCAAATAATGTTGTCATTAGATGAAGAAATAAAATTTCAATCAGTTATATTTTTAATAGAACATCGAATATTTTTTTTTTTGTAATAAGTCTCTCATAATTCAAGGACAGTTGTGAGCTAATAGGCAACTGAAATTGGATGTGACAGTGGAGTGCGCAAAAAGAAATAAAATTTTTTAAAAATAATGATTCAAATCGTTTGATCAAAATAAAAGATTATTTTCTAGCTTTTGATTCGTTTTAATAAAAATTTGAAGTAATATTCAGTTGATAAATCATTGATATTTTCGTTGAGTGATTTTTGTTTAAATTCTAAAGATTATGTGACAAAAACGTCAAGAAGTAGACGAAGCTTTTTTTTGATGATTTGAATTGTTTTTGTGAAAAAGTTCGCTTAGATCGATTGAAATCATATTTGTCATTTAATGGAGAAAATCATCGAACAAGTTTCGAATATAATATAGAGTCATCAAATGGATATTTTATTGAACACATCTGAAATTTCTTTAGAAAAAAATTATGAAAAATAAATTGATGTCCATCTTTTGTTGTGAAAATTAAAAATTGTTCATCGATTGATCAATATGTAATTGAACAAATTGAACCAAACCATAATAACGGGTGCGATAGAATAAATGGCTACCTCAGTATTTTATCTCTAACTCTTTTTTTCTTTCATCCAAATGACATGATTTTATCATAGAAAGATGTACCGTGAAATTCTCTACAAAGTGACCTATTTTATCTTGGCTAAATACTGTTCGTCGTACTTTAAATCGAAATGGTTGCACTTGGAAAAATGATGAGTACTTTCCAAAAATAGTTATTTTATAGTTTTTCCTAATATCGCTTTATTTGCCATATCTTAGTGACCTTTGTTGAAATAACATTTTAATTTCGATAATTACCGATTCAACTCAAGTAGGAAAGCCTAGGCATCGCTGGAGTATCGGTAAACCCAGATTGCTTCTCAACTAAAACAAACAATAAACGAAAGTTACTAAAAAATGGCAAATAGAGCAATATTAGGAAAAACTATAAAATAACTATTTTTGGAAAGTATTCATAATTTTTTCAAGTGAAACCATTTCGATTTAAAGTACGACGAACGGTATTTAACCAAGATAAAATAGGTCACTTTGTAGAGAATTTCACGATACATCTTTCTATAATAAAATCATGTCTTTTGGATGAAAGAAAAAAAGAGTTAGAGATGAAATACTGAGGGGACCATTTATTCTGCCGCACCCGTTATTATAATTTAAGATGTACGCAATTTTTAATTATTTGAAAAGTAATAAATTTTAAAAAAGAGCAGCTTTTTTTCTAATCTAATATTGGATGATTTGTAATTCTAAAACGTCATTTTCATTTTTGATGTTGTCATTGCATATTTTTATATTTGTTAATTTTTAATAAATTGAAATAATTCAATATCTACTGTAGCATAAAAAATATATATTGAATATTTTGATAATCATTTCTGTCGGTAATCTGATTCTATCAAAAGTTAAATTCATTACTTCAATGAGCTTTGTTTAGAAGAAAATATTTTTTAAATAATTACAATAGTAACAAATTGTTTGCTAGTATTTTTATGTGATATGGTACGATTATTGACATTAGTTTTTTTTTTTGATGATAATTCTTCTGCAGCTAGACAAAGAAATGGTTTTATGAAGTGCATCTGTTTCTGTTTTTGGATATATAGAAAACAAAAACTATGATCCAGTTGTCTTTTAGAATACTATTATATATATATATATGTATTACGTGATTGAAGCAGGGCCATGAGATCAGCTAGCGTTGTCAAACATGGAACAAAGACTTTGATAAGGACTGCCAATGTCAAAGAAAACAAGTTATTCGTCTTAATAATCAGAGTTGAACATGGTTCAAGGTTTTCAAAAATTCGCACTGAACCGAAAAAGAAATATTTTGAAATTCCATTATAAATAACAAAAAATTGATGCAGTTTTCATCATAATTTGTTCGTTTTATTTCAAACAATTGTTATCTTAATTCTTATCGATATGATAGATGACCCCAAATCAAATGGCTTCTCTATATTCAAAGAATATGAATGTGAAGTGCTTTGGATAGAATTGAAGGGTCTTTCTTAGTGTTTTTATTTAATTGAAAACGATAACTTCCATGAATATGTATATATATGGGCGTGGCCAGTTGACATGATACTCCAATTTGCTTTCTTTCTATTATCAGTTAATAACCTAATCATATTTGGGTCAAATTATCACTCTCATCGCTAAACTACTAAATTTAAAATATTAGCTGCTGATCGCTGTCTTATATGAAACTATTCAATCCCTTAAAAAACGGTAAGACACAATTTCAGGAACTGAATAGTTTCATATAAGAAAGCGATCAGCAGCTAATATTTTAAATTTAGCAGTTTAGCGATGAGGATGATAATTTGACCCAAATATGATTAGGTTATTAACTGATAATAGAAAGAAAGCAAATTGAGGTATCATGTCAACTGGCTACGCCCATATGAAAAATCTCTCGTAGACTAAAGCTGTTTTGTAGAATAATTGGTATTCAGGGTAATGATCTCTCTGCTATTTCTGTGTTTCGAAGAGAATGCTTAATTTTTACTACGAATGCTCTATTTTTCGTTTGCAGTGTTGCTATTCACTCATAATTTGTCATTTCTTCAAATTCGTTTTTTTCCTTAATTTAGCACTCTTATTATTATAATCATCGAATTAACTGACAAAGAAATCTGTTTTACATGTTCATGATATCAACAGTAGATGTGGCGTACCATCATGTATATATATATATATATACATAAATCAACTCACCGATAATGATATTAATTATTTTTCAAAATTAACATTTTATCAATTTTGAAAAAAAAAACATGTTGACAACCGAACATCTGCTATTTTTCACTACGAAGTATCTGTTGTGAGGAGGGCAAGTAGGAGTCGAAGAACTTCGAATTAAAAGTGACACTCACTATTTTCTTAAAAAAATACACGCAAGTTCTACAAAGAAGTTTACAATAATTAAGACAGTGAAAAACATGATTAGATATCATATACATTTGTAATTAATAGAAAATAAAAAGAATATGCAAATATAATAATTTATTTTTAAAATATGAATATAAAAAAATAGCTCCACTAAATACTAAGAAATTCTACATTGAATACGAATTTAGACATCAGTTGTCCGTTGACACACGCGTGAAAGACGATATCTACATATATATCAAAGAAATTAATCAATGTTTGAACGTTTTTTTTTTTGAGTTCATTCATCAAAATCTAATTGGTTAATGTATGCAGTAATGATTAGAAGATGATTTGAAATGTTAATATCTAAATTAGTTAATAACTTAAGATTAATAATAAATAGTTAGTAAGAAATGTAGTTATATATGGGTACCGAAAACTAGTTCATTGTGTCAAGTAGCAATTACTCTTTAATAAGACTGTAAACCACATTCAATAATCTAAAACTTTGATTATATGGACTAGAGTTAAAATATGCTGTAGTCATACAGGTATTTATAGCATTTAGAAGTGTTACTGAGATAAAGAAAAAATAAACCTTTCATCATTGTTGTTTCTCAATAATTAGAATTTCAATGAATATGATCATCATCAAACAATGATTCTCGTTGATATGTTTGTCGTGATTTATTAATATTTTGGTTCATTTCCTCAACTATTTCAATTTTTTTTTTTTTATAAAAAGAAATTATTAGTAAAAGAATAATTATATAATGATAAACATAAATGATCATTTAGGATCTAAACGATGTCGTTAAGATAGTTTGATACGTTTACCATTGTTAGTTTTTGAATCATCTATCAAGTGTTCAAGATAATCGCACGTAATAGCTTGCTAAATGAAAATTTTTTATATGAAATAAGTGCAAAAAGAAATTCAATTATAACAAATTCATTATTACTTGATTACTAATTAATCGCTTATGGTTTTCAAGTCTTCGTATTCTATTTAAGATATTTTCCTGTAATGATTGACTCAAAATACGCAAAATTTGAAAAAAAAAATACACGAACAACATATTGTTTTATGTTTTTTCCTTTTGATATAAAGCATTTAACTTGAATATAATTAGCGAGAGGAATAACTAATGAAACTCTTTCTTTATAAATCGTTCTATACCAAATTTTCATAGATCGACTACAGACGGAAGACTTTCGAGAAACTAAACACGGTAATTTTCATGTCTTTGAAGACTATTATATTGAAGAGCATAAAGTTTTGAATAAAAAGAAAGGTTATTGCATCTTCTACAACTTCGTCTTAAAAATTTACAAAAACATCACAAATCGAGATTGATTATCTACAACAAAATAACGCATTTTGCTGGTTTTGTAATGCTTATTACTTTTTAAGAGAGAGTGGCGGGAAGTGGAACAATATCTCGTTTGCTTAGAGACTTTCTTCTTTTAAAGATGATATTCTTTAGCATTAATCTTCATAGAGTCTTCGGAGGCCTGAAAATGTTGTGTATGATTTTTCATAACTCTTCCTCTAATAATTCTATTTATAAGATTCCAGTATACAATACATTTGATAGGATATTTCACTAACTATTCCAACCGCTATTTAGATTTAAGTGGTTCATATCGCAGAAAAAAAGTTAATCCGATATTTTCCAAGGGCGTTCTATGAAAGATCTAGATCTAGTGTTTATTTTATTTAAGTTTACTACTTACACTCGTTCTTCATCTAGATCAGGTTCATCAAGTAGTTTTCTTTCCTGTTTTAAATAATTATAATAAACTTCATCACCATATGCATCTTCAGTTGTTTCAATTTTTGTTATACTTTTGTCATCGAGTGACAGTTCTAATAAAAAAATCAACTATTTTATTTAGATGAATAAAATAAAACAAAAAAAAATGTTTTACTATATTTTGTTCAATTCACATGTTGTCGATGTTTATTTTTTGGATGAATTCTGACTTACAACATTTAGCTAATGTATACAAAGTTAATCGTACACAATGAGAAAAAAAAAATGAAAGGTGATGGAAACGATGGACATGATAAATATTCACACACTAATGAATATCGTTGAAATTTCCAAATACGATCTGCATTGCTTTGAAGACGATCGAAAGTATTAGTAAATTAAAACAAAACAAGGCTTTAGTTAGATGCAAAAAAATGGTTTCGATACATATTAACTATCTATAGTCCTTTTTTCATAACGATTTAAAGTAGATGTTATAAATACTACCTGAACATAGCAATAAGTAGATTGACTAAGAGTATACTAACAATAGTCATATAACCAAGCAATAAGATAAACGCTGTATAACCATTTGCTTTAAAATTTTCTGTATAAAGACAAACATTTTATTATTTAATTAGAAATTCTTTATTCTTTTCTTCTTTGTATTTTCATACCTTCGAATGTTTCTAAAGCTTCTATTTCACTAAATATATGTGTGAATAAACAAGATTTATAGTTTTACGTGATAAATGCCAAATAAATTGTTGAACACCAAATACTAAACTATAAAATGATACACCAAACGCCAGTATAAATACGAAAGACATTAACATGAAAAATTTCAAATCATGTACCTAACAAAAAAACAATATATATATAAGAAAACAACATTTAATAGAAAACAAACTAATACTATTGATAAAATCTCTGTGAGAATAAAATGTGAAACATGATAGAGCTACTATTGTTGTCAATGCGAAATGGAGATTGATTTATTCTGACTATCTGAGAAGGAATTTCTTCATCTTTCTTCTACTAGATTCTCTAGAAATATGATAACAAAATAGTTGGTATATTGTAAATAGTTGTTTTTGATAGGCGACTTATCACAATATCTGATTAAAGCATGTTACAATCTATGATTAATCTTTGAAAAGTAACTATTAAGGAATTATGCTAATATCTAACTAGTGTCTCACAAAATCAAGAAGATTACTTACCATTTTATCAATTATAACAAGTTTAGGCCCAAGTAGTTTTACAGTAGTAAACATACCCAATGTACATATAAACCAAATAGATAAATCAAATGATAAAACAATCCGTGCTGCATAAAAGCATTCTGATATTGAAATATATCGAAGTACAATACCCACGAAAAATAGAATTATAGTCACAACATCTAATTTATTCCAATATGATTTAAAATAAATTGCAACAGCGTTTCGTGCTGATGATGCTCGTATTACAAATAACTAAAGAATGTGAAGACAGTAAATAGAGGCCATAAGATAATAGATTACAAATATGTTCAAACAAATTACCTGTCGAAGTTCTTCACAAACTAATGTAATAACCCATATGACAAGTATAATTTCAGTAGAAGACGGATTTTTATGCGATTGTAGTCCATATGCAACTGATTTACTAACATTATAGAAACTTATAGTCGATGTGTAACTTGTAACTGATAGATTACCATCTTCTTCATCGCAACTATCTTTTTTTGCTAGATTGCCAGATGGTATACATAAAATTCATTGGAAGATCATAGAGTGGAAAAAAATCACATAAAATTACATAGGAAAATAATAATAAAAAGATCAAATGAGAGTACTAAAATATAAAATGAATAAGTGTATTAAATAAAATTATATGAAAAAAGAATTAATTCTGAAAATGAAACATACTTTTAGAAAAAATAAAATAAAAAAAACGACTATTATCTAATTGAATACTTACTAAATGATAAAGATATTTAACATATGCAGTACGTATAAATGTGATAATGTGGTGAAGATATTCAGAAACTTTTCTTAATTTCCTAGAAGAATAAAATAAAATGAATTATTATTTCCTTTGTCCAATTTAAACAAATATATAAATAAATTATATGTAAAATAATCTTAATTAACAAAAAAGCAATCGTTGTTAATTTAAGTCACTATTAGTATTATTGCTATTAACCCTTTCGAGGCGATTCGGTTTTCATAGAAAATAACTTTAACACATTCATCTTCATGTCTATTCACTCTCGATAAATGCACTCGTTGGACTTTTCAGTATATACACCCATTCATTTCTCTTTTTCTTGTTTGTACCATTACACAGCGATCTTATTCCACGTAGAACTGAATAGTTACTTAAGTTTGCTTTTCTCTTTCTCTCATATGTATTTGCACTAGGAACAATATAGAGAAATAAAATGTCAATCTGTTTTTGTTTTCTTTTCGAAGCATCATCTTTGATTCATTCTGTTATGATCTACATCTTCTATAGGTGCAATTAGAAGACATATTCTTCTTATTTTCATCATTGAGCATTCTCCAATGGAGGAAAACAAGGTATAGATTTATCTGATTAGCTATCAGCATACTATACATGTCTAAGACGATCCATGAAATGATATCAATAGGTGACATCTGAATTGATATTTGGAACGGCAACAATTAACGCCTACTTGATTTATAAGGAAAATTATGACACAAGCCATATGACCATGCTACACTTTTGTGACTCTTGTACGATCGTTACGTCTTAGTACGTCATTTGAGATGCTGAAACTTGGTATGAAGCAACAATCAACAAGTAATTCGAAGTGTAAACTAGCTTATCATAAGCTTGCAGAAAAAGAAGAATCTGCGCCTAATGTTCGCAGACACTGTAGACTGCTTTGAGAAAGGAAAGGAAAGGGACCATAATCAAGAGAAAAGAGCTATGTGGCAGCAAAGAAAATAAAAATCTTTTGTTCTGACTGTAATTAATTCTTTTATCTTGATTGTTTTAATAAGAAATATCATGCTATGGAATAAAAGAATCAAAAAACATATTCAGGGTAGAGCAGAATTCACATTGTGTTTAACCTCTTGCCTAAGAAAAAAGCAAAAGAAAGTGCTTTTCTATACAGTTTCTCGTTAAACTATAGCGTGTCCCACCAGTGGGCGACATCGCCTCGAAAGGGTTAATGCCAGAGCTAACACAGACGTCATCTCGGAGCTGGTGTAGATTTTCTGAATGATTTCCACCTTTGTTCAAACATTTCGGCTATGACTTTATTGTCTAGTAAAATGGTGTTAGTTTAGCTGCTACAGATAGTCTTGTCACAAGCAAGTGTCTGAAAACAGGATGATTAATCTGGCTGCCAGATTCTACAGGAAAAACGGTTAGAATCCGGCTGTTAAAATATTCTGGAAATTCGATAGGGGCCTAATAAAAGAGTTCTTCGATCGAAATTCTCATAATTCCAATGGGATCCAATCGGAACGATCTAGATTCGATGGAATAAGTGTTCTCTGGGCCAAGGAGATCCATATACAAGATGTCTATATACTATTAGCATGATCGAACTCGTTCTCAAAACTATTTGTAAATTATTTGGTGACTTCTAGATTATTATATCATTTTGAGCGGTTACGTTGTCTACAAGGATGCAACATTTGTATTCTCATGTAAAAAAATTTAATGGAGTTTCTTGTCAAATTTTTTTATATGGGTCGTCTCGAGATTTCAGTTTGAACTAGGACTATCTAAAACTGAACTCAGTTCTATTCTGCCCTACCACATATACATTGAATAATTTTTCGTTGATATTTAACCATTAAATATAACTGTTATCTAGGTTATCAAATTGTTATTGATACACGAGATCATCTTATTGATGTACTTGAAAATCATTATTAAAAGATTACAACAATGTGCTTATGTTCTTATGGATGAAGCTGATGTTAAACGTATTCTTGAATATTTACCAGTTACAAATCAACAACCAGATAATGAAATTGTAGAAGATACAAGATAACAAAAAAAAGAAATATTTTTCTTTCTTTTATTTTAAAAGATTTTGCTTCAAAAGATATATATCATCAAGCAGTCATGTTTACAGTAACAATGACATCAGCTATTGAACGTTTAGCACATACATATATTCGTTGTTGTTCAGCATCTGTTTATGTTGGATCAATTGGTAATCTAATTGAATGTGTCGAACAAATTATTATTTTTGAATTTCCTTTTTTTTGTTTATTTCTATTAGAGTGGAAAAGGTCAAGAAAGTCGAGGTTTAGCTTTTAGCTCATTTTAGGACAAAATCAAAAAGATATTCTTGTTGCAACAGATGTTCCTGATCGTGGTATTGATATAAAAGATGTTTCACTTGTATTAAATTATAATATGACTAAGACAATTCAAGATAAAAGAAAAAAAGATTTCATAAAAAAAGAAATGAATATGATTTGAATTATTTGAGATTATATACATTGTATATTCGTCGTACCGGTAAAGCAATAACATTTTGTAACAAAAGAAGATTGAGCTATATTTTATAATTTCAAAGAGGTTATACTTGAATCATCTTCTTGTATTTGTGTCTCGTTTTTTATTATCTTATTATTGTGCATTATTGATAAAGAAATATCTGATGAAAAATAAAGTAATGACCTATTATGCATTTATTTATTTCATGAAAATGAAAAAGTTTTTTTTTTTCTTTCTATTGGATGACGTTTGTTACTATGGCAGACGTGTTCTTGCTGCACAATCACATGTCAAAACAAACCTTGCATTGGTTTTCTTTTTTTTTCGTGCTAAAATTTCTATTCAGATTGACGTACTTGCCCTAAAGTAAATAATGATGGACAATATTGTATATATTTGACCGAAATCTGTAATGATTCTAATAGTCATGGTGATGATTTTACGGAATATTATTGATACACAATGTTTAAAATAAGTTATTCAAATATTTCCAAAATTTAACGTAAAGATATTCTTTATCCTCTACTCGATGTGATTGAAGAAGATTGACAAATAGATAAATGAATAATGATAATATTACAAATAAAAAAACAAAAAATATTTCTTCTTTACTTATTCTGTTTTTTTTAATCATAGTTCATCATATTATTTCAAAATGAATTCTTACACGAATGAAAAATTCTGATAAAGAATGTGTTGATGTATTGAAAACTATATTTTGATTGGAAACGAAGATGAGGACAAACGGTATAATTAAATATAAATTTTCATTATCCATTTTTGTATTTTTGTCTTTCGTATTATGAATGGAGTTGTATATGATTAGTATAAGTTTCTTTTTTACAGAATCGAAATTTATAACTATGTAACTTAAATTTCGTTTTTAAACTAAATCGATCTTTTGAACTTCAATAATAATCTAACGGAGATCTGGTTGCTACTCACATAGATATAAGAAAATGAGATTTATTTTAGTTTTCATAATACTGAAAGTAAATGTTTTGTTTTTATACAAAATAACAGCAAGAAAAATATAAATTAATGTATCGACTTCGTAGTCTATGCCACTATTCTTTGATATAACATCGAATGAATCATTAGTCTCAACTAGTATTTGAATTCTTATGTAAAGATGTTCGATAATTTCCATTATTTTAGAATGTTGGACAGATCGAAAATCAATCTCCTTAGGATTTCTAGTGCCTAGAAGAGATGTAATTCAGGTGGTCATATTCATTTTTACAACAGAATATGAGAAAATAGTTAAGTCAATCCGTATGTGCTGCACTACAGTTGACACTCGTATGTTTCTCCAGCAAAGAAAAATTTATGGAGATGGTCAGTCTAGCCAAATGTCCCAATTTGCTTTCTTTCTATTATCAGTTAATAACATAACCATATTCGGGTCAAATTATCACTCTCATCGTTAAACTACTAAATTTAAAATATGAGCTACTGATTGCTGTCTTATACGAAATTATCCCGTCCCTGAAATTGTGTCCTATTGTTTTTTAAGGGACGAAATGATTTCCTATAATGCAGCGATCAGCAACTAATATTTTAAATTTAGTAGTTTAACGATGAGAGCGATAATTTGACTCGAATATGGTTTGGTCATTAACTGATAATAGAAAGAAAGCAAATTGGGGTATTCGGCCAAACTGGCCATCCCCATATATATATTCTTGATTTATTTTTTTCCTTAACGGAATAAGATATAGCAGCAAGAGTTAAATGAATATGACTCTACTTCGTTTATAAAATGGAAATTTTATGTTAACAATTGTAGACGTCAATTTTTTTGGATGAAGAAAAAACAATTGAGGAGAAACTAAAGAGATTCCATTTTCTTACATCTATATGACAACTAGAATCTCCATTTAGGCAAGCTATGATCCCGAAAGCTTTCACCCTAATATAAAGATATGTTAAACTAATTATTAAAATCTTTGAAATTGTTTATATCCAAAATTAACATAAATTAATAATAGTTTACTGATACAATTAAAATATGCTATATTTAATAGTTTATATAGAAAATTTCTTATTGCAAGAAAATATAATAACAGTTTTGCACTTAGATCATATGCACAAACATAAAGAAATGTCAACTGTAATATCTTTTTTTGTATGAAATTTTATGCAAATTGTCTATGTTTTTTTTATCAATAAACTGCTATTTTTTAGTCGAGATAAAGAGTCTCTCAAAAGTTTCGATCCCTCTTTGTAAATTGACGTTATCTATATCAAATATACTTATAGATAGTTGATTGAAATATACATTTTTGTAGAGAATCAGAAGAGCTATCATCTGAAAAAAAAAGGTTCAAATTGTGTGATAGTTATGAAAAGCTATGACCATTTCATTAACGATGACGACTAGGCATTTTACATCTTACATTTTTTACAAAAGCAAAGTATGTTTGTAATGTCTGAAACGAAATATCGTTTTCTAGGTTTTTTTATATGGTTCGATAGATTTCGACGAGCTCTACAAGAATATAGACATCAAAAAAATTCTGATGCTGTTTCCCAGTACAAAACTTGAAGGAAACCAGAATGATTAATAAAAATCTCACATATCTTATATTAGAGAGGGTATGCTGAACTTTCAATAACTTTAGCTGGTTGACTATTCTGTCTATTCATGAAGCTCGGAAAGATTATACATATTCAGCTTCACTATGTGATACTGCATCTCGAGACATAAACTAACAATCGATCAGCTAAAATTATTGAAAGTCAAGTATACTTTCTAATGTAAGATATGTGAGATTTTTATTAATCTTTCTGGTTTCCTCCAAGTTGTGTATTGAAAAGAGGATTAGAAGTTCTTTTGATATTCATATTCTTGTAGAGCTCGTCGAAATCTATCGAACCATATAGAAAAAACCTAGAAAACAATATTTCATTTCAGACGTTACAAGCATATTTTGGTTTTGTAGAAAATGTAAGATGTAAAATGCTTAGTCGTCATCAATGAAATGATCATAGCTTTTCATAACTATCACACAATTTGAACCATTCTTTTTTCAGATGATAGCTCTTCTCATTTTCTACAAAAATATATATTTCAATCAACTATCTATCAATATATTTGATATAGATAACGTAAATTTACAGAGAGGAGTCGAAACTTTTAGGAC